GGGACCTCACACCATGCCAGTGTGTGTGTGTGTCTTGGCTTCTGAAATCGACAAGATCTGAGAGCAGCCACCACTTTAATCTTCCCTTGCAATGGAGTTGGCTCTCTTACCACCACCACCACCACCACCATGAGAGGACTGGGGCAGCGTAGACCTGACACTGCCTCCAGAATCTCCCTCCTCCCTCTACGCTGGTGCTCCCTCCCTCCCCCACCCCCCTCTCTCTATCACACACACACACACACACACACACACACTCTGGCAGAAAGCCTCTTCTCCCACAGTGAGTAATACTCTGTGTCTCTGGAGTCCTCCTACTTCACGCTGTGAGGCTTGGCCCCGTACATGCAGGTGGAGCCCTGATCTCCTATCAGCATAGCTGCCCATCATCCTCAGCCTTCCCTAAGAAGCCTCGAAGGCACGGTCGATGCCATGTGGCTGTAGGAGGCATTTCCAGACATACGTGTGTGGAAGGGAAGCTGGACAAGGAATGGACCCCAAACCAGACTAAGTCCAGCTCAGTCCCACCTCCTCCCTGGCTGCGCCTGCCCCCACCATGGGGCCAAGAATAGCTTTTCTGCCCTTTGTGGAATAGATTTTTCTCTCTTGGGTTTTATCTGCAGTTATTGATGTATCTGGATTTTTTTGTTTTCTTGAGGCAGTTTGGATCCTTTGTTTTCTTAAATCATCTATTTCTTCTAGAAATGAAGGTGTGTTGCTATCAAACTGTTAACTAGATTTCTTTTATAATTAAATATATCTGTATCCATAGCCACAAGCCTTCTTCCCTTCCAGATGCTTACTTTTCTTTCCCCTCAGACAAGAATTGCTAAAGATTTTTTAAATTGATCTTTTAAAGAATTTTAGATATTTTAGACTTCAACTACTTTTGATTTTTAGCTATCAACTACTTTCGCCCTCCTTCCTCTACTTTTATTGACTATTCCCCCACCCCGTGTCTTTTTTTTTAAATTTCTTAGTTGTAGATGGACACAATACCTTTATTTTGTTCATTTATTTTTATGTGGTGCTGAGGATCGAACCCAGTGTCTCACATGTGCACAGCAAGCACTCTACCACTGAGCCACAGCCTCAGCCCCTCTCTCTTTGGTTTTATTTATCCTCTTCTAGCTTCCCAATTTCAGTGCTTAATTAATTTTCAGTTTCGGTTTCTGAAATGCATTTAAAGCTATAATTTCCCCCTGAGAGCCATTTTGGTCTCAACCCATTGTCCTTCAATTACAAATTATTTGTAATTTCTGCTTGGCTTTTCTCTTTAACTGGAGAGTTATAGAGCAATATAACTTTTAAATTTTCAAAGTGAATGGATTATTTTATATTCTTGTTTCTATTAATAACAGATCATTAGTTGGTGGGGGCATTTGTTCTATCTTTAAGACAGACCTGTTTAAAAGTTTCCATGTTTTAAGCTTCGTGACTTTGGCACTTTTTGATGTTTTTACCTTTTCTCATTATACATACCCTACATTTTTCCTATTTAATTACTTAACCTTCAACTTAATTTTGCAGATGCATTTCTTTTGGTTAGCATGTGGCAAGTATATTCTTCTTTTATCCTTTCTCATTTTGTGTGTGTCATTTTCTTCTCATGGGTCTTTTTTAAGTAGCAGGCAAATTGCTTTTTGTACTAAGAATCTGCTTTTGACAGGTGAATTCATCCCATTTGTATTTATTGTGATTGGATTTATTTCTGCCAACTTATTTCACATCTACTTTTTAATTGTACTTGCTTATTTTGTTAATTTATTTTTGCCTTTTGTTGAATTGGTTGCATTTGCTTTGTTCTGTTTTTCCTCTCTTCTGGTGATTAGGAGGTTTGGGGTTTTATTTCTGTTCTTTGGGTAGGTCTGCTATATACATAAGAAAGTGTATACTTAACATTTTCCTGTCAGCCTCTGGGTATAATTGGGATCTTTGGCCTCTTTCCCAATGAAGCAAGAAAGTTAGTACAGGCTGAGTATCCCTTATCTAGTACCAGAATAAGGATATCATATTGGGGCAATAAGTGTTTCAGGTTTCCGAGTTTTTCAGATTTGGGAATATTTGCATAGACCTTACCATTTGAACATCCCTAGTCCAAAAATCTAAGCTCCAAAATGTTCCAATATGTAAAACTTTTTGAACACCACATTGGTATATAAAATGTTACAGGTTTCAGAGAACTTCAGATTTTTAATTCTCAGGTGAGGGACACTTATATTTTCCTGGTCTCTTCCTTCACACATGGCTCATCATAGATTTTAGTTCCAATTTATCATCCCTTCTCTTCAAACTGAGCAACATTTTATTTAAACTTAACTCTTATATTTTGCTGTTTTCTTTACTTATGACTATTTATAATATCCCTTATCCTTCTCTTTCATGAATCTGTTTTTCACTATGCTTGAGTACATCCTCTAAGAATTCTTCTAGAAAGTGTGGGCAAGATAATGTCAAAGACCTTCAGTGTCTGAAATGGCTGTCTTCCTTTCCAGAGGATCCATTGTATTTTCAGCTCCCTATTGAGATTTTTTTTTTAATTGAATGATCATATTTTTAAACATAACCTAGAAAATATGTGAATATATTAATTATAACATGACCTTAATGTATGTTGCTATTGAATTTAGGCCTTCCCATCCACATGTCAGCCATTTCAAGTGTTTAATTGATTGCAGCTCTAAGTGGGATTTATTTGGGTGGGGGGAAGCTATAATGGAGGGATCCAGTTGAAGGTGAACTCTTCCTACCCCTCAGCCACCCCACTGGTCCTCACTGTAGGTCCCTGTCTTCTTATATCCAGATGAAAGAGTTGTAGGATGTCAGAGCTACACGGACCTCAAGGTCCAGAGTCCTGCCCCTCTTCCTGCATGAGCCTGAGGCCCAGGAGTGGGGCAGAGTAGCCACTAGCTTCTCTCACGTCTGGTGCACATCCCAGCTCCTCCTGTCCATCCATCGCCCCTCTGAAGTGCAGAAGGACTGGGCCTCACTAGTCCCTGCATCAATGATGATCTGATGGGACAGGTCACTTTCCCAGGCCCTGTCTGAAGGTATCAGAGGAGATGTGGAGTCCTAAGTATCCTCAGTAGCTCCTTCTGTGGCTTTCCTTGCTGTCCACCCACTGGCACCCCTGTATCTGTCTCTTGCCACCTCTTTTCTTCCCAGTATCTGACGTAAGTCTCCAAATATCTGTCTGAAGTCCTATTCAGGGGTCTGCTAGGCTTTGAAGCCTGTGTCAAAACTGAGCCCCCAAATCCTGCTTCTCCTCCTTCCTTACTGCCTTAGTCCATGACACCAATATTCACCCTGTCACTCAGGCCAGACCCAATAGCACCCCCACTGCAGCCCTGTCTTTGAAAGTGGCCCCATCAGGCCACCTCCCCCGGCCTCCCATCATATCCCGCCTGGATTGCTGCACAAGCTCCTAACAGGTCCCCTTGCTCCCACGTGCGGCCTATTGGAAAAGGGAACTTGTTAGGAGGAGCCAGAATGAACTTGTATAAGTTCATCTTCTGATAGTGACCGCCCCCCCCCCAGCCGGCTCTGTTGTTCTTCATTGTGTACGCTTAACCAGCTAACGTTCCAGCAGCCTCTCATTTATCTGTCTCTCGACGGGATCTTAAGTTCCTACACAGCAAGGATTTTGCCACATTTGTCTTGTGCCCACAGAGGCTAGAACCTGCCCAGCACATTGTAGGCACTCAAAGATTTCTTAAACGAATGAACAGCATTGCTTAGACTCCTCATTTATTTGCTCATTCAAGTCCTATTTGGGTACATTTTGTGCTGGGACTCAAATAGCCAGGTGACTCACACAGACCAGGTCCCTGCCTCTGGGAGCCAACAGTCCGGCGGTGGCGGGGGGACATTAAACAGGCAGCAAGATGTGTCTGGAGAAGGGTTGGGACAGAGTGGGGAGAACCCTGGGGGCTCAGGCAGCAGAACACGACATCAGAGTGAGCCAAGGCCTGGGAGGAAGGAGCCCAGGCCCAGGGTGTGGGAGAGAAGGCCCCTCGAAGATGGCAGGCTCCTGGCCTTCTTTGTGCCAGCACTTCTCTCTCAGGGCATTACACATAGTAACTCAAACCACCCTGGCCATCCCTGTTTTAGGAAACAGAGGCACAGAGAAATGAGCCTTCCCGGGGCCACGCCCGAGGAGTGGGGAGCCAGACACAGCGCCGTGGTCTGACTCCAAAATCTGTAACCACCAACTTCACTGCCTCGAGGGAGAGGGAGAAATTGGGTCTGGTCACAGAGTGGAGAGAGCATGGGGGCCAGTGAGCAGGGGCATGCAGGAGCCCACAGTTCAGACCTTGGACGGTGTAGGGTGGGAGTGGTCAGGCTGGCACAGCTGGAAGGAGACACCCCCCCACCCCAGCTGTGGCTGTGACTCTCTGAGCCAGGCAGAGGTGGAGCACTTGATCTCACCAGGAAGGAAGGGTGAGCGTGAGCGTCAGGGGTCCGTGGGACGATGGTGGCTTGGAGGGAAGGACCTTTCTCATGGTCTTGGGGGACCCTGCTTCCAGCCCCAGTACTGTTCCCGCCACCCCTGTGACAGCCCCATCCTAGAGGTGAGGGTCATTCCCTCCCTAAAGCCTTCCTGGTGTCTGTCCACACTGACCAGTGGCCTCCTCAGGGCTTCTCCTAGGCTTATCCACAAACACACGTTTCTCCACAGGGGGCAGCAAGATGGCGGAACTGGAGACTCAAAGAGAGTCTTTGAGCTTAGCTTCCCAAAGAATCCTGCTCTGTAAACGCTGCAGCAGGGAGTCACCCCGGCCCTGGGGACTCCTCAGTGGGTGTTTGTGAGAGCTGATCACTGATTTTAAATCGCTTGTGGGTGGAACAAGGAATTGAGGCCCAGGGAGCACCTGGATTGAAACCACCCAGGCAGAGCCTCCCACTGGGGGGAACAGCAACAGCCACCGCCTGAGGGTCTGTGGGCTAAGGGGACTCCAGTGGGACGCTGGCAGCCCCTGAGTGGCCTCATCTCTCCCCAGTTCTGGACACAGCCGGGCAGGAGGAGTTCAGTGCCATGCGGGAGCAGTACATGCGCACCGGGGACGGCTTCCTCATCGTCTACTCCGTCACCGACAAGGCCAGCTTCGAGCACGTGGACCGCTTCCACCAGCTCATCCTGCGTGTCAAGGACAGGTGAGGGCAGGGTGTCCCAGCTCCTGGCCTGCAGGAGGCTCCCTTCTGCCTTTCTTCCTCTTCCTCCTCCTCTTCTTCCTCCTCTTCCCTCTTCCTCTCCTGGAAAGCTGAATTCTCTCCTCCCCACAGATCTCCCTGTCAATCCCTCCAGTGCCACCCCTAGATTTTTTTCTTCAGGATCAAACTGCTTCCAGGGACCTAAGGGGGGTCCATCCCCACCCCGTAGCAGCATCTTTGTTTCAACTCCAATTTAGCCAAGTTATATTAAGGACAAAGAAGTGAATTTTTCTCTCTAGTATACACGGTCATTGATTAAGTCACATTTGACGGTGAGATTTATAAGCCTCTAATTAAAAGCAGGTTTTTCCTTGTCTCATAATTGAATAACTTGGAGCCCATTTTCAGCCCAGCTGGTCTTTTCAGTTGATTGGATCTTGAAGAGGCAAAGTAAAGACAATAAACAGAGAAGCTAATAGGAAAACAGCAAGCTCTGACCAATCCCAATAAACACAGAAAAATCCAGCTAATACCTATTCTAAAGCAGAAAGGGGTAATGACTTTACCAGGTAAAGGGACACACGCACACAGAGCTCAGTTATGTCCCTGAGTATATGAGCCTCAAAAGTGACTCAGGTGGGAAAATATTTAATTTTCTTGCTAATCAAAGAAATGTGAGGGAAATAGTAAAGGGCCACTTTTTCACCTGTGAAATTACAATTTTTAAAGAATAAAAATATCCAGTGCTGGATTCAACAGGGCAGGACCTCATGGGGCATAAAGTCAGAGTGACGATTTGGATGGCAGTTTGGCCTCTGGACCAGCCTCAACACCAGCCTTGTGACAGGCCTGAGGCTTCAAAACCAAGACAGCCACCTCACCTCCCAGGCCCCTTTCACCCAAGGGCTTACCTCACTCTGGAAAGGAGCTGGGAAGGGGTTCTGCCCCGGCCAGGCAGGCTGATACACCTGAGGTTTGACTGCATCCCCTCAGCCAGGCACTGGCCCTCACTGTCCCTTTATTTCCAGGGAGTCATTTCCCATGATCCTCGTGGCCAACAAGGTCGATTTGATGCATCTGAGAAAAATCACCAGGGAGCAAGGAAAAGAAATGGCCAACAAACACAATGTAGGTGCACGTGCGTTGGGCGGAGGATGTGTGAATGTGGGTGCTTTGGAATTGGAATTGGAACCTGGGCCTCCTGGGTAGCAACTGAATTCCATGAGGTTAGGCCCTCATGGGGCATAATGTGATGGGGGGGTAGATATTTTTAAAACAAGTCACACAGAAAACACCCTCTGTAGTCATTAGAAGTTCCGATGTGGGGACCTGATACCTTCTGGGTGCTGTTCTGCCCACCTCCTGGTCAAGGGCCACTCAGTCCCACCAGGACCCTGAAGATCCATGCCTGGGCTGTGCAGAGGGGTTGGCTTCTGTCCATCACCCAGTATGCTCATGCTCTTTGGAGTCAGCTCTGTTCGCTCGCTGAGCTCTGCCCTGCACCAGGCACTGCTTCTGGGGAACAGACGCACCATGCCCATGGCTCCTCACAATGCAGGAAGATAGTATTTTCTGCATGGAGTTAAATGGTACTACCAATTATTGCAAGGTTTCCCTTAGTTTAAGTCCAGGTGCTACTGAAATCCCTGAATTCTAAGAACCCAATGGATGCATGTCAGACTTTCTTCAGTGGTAGAAGCAGAGCCCCCAGAAAGAAGGTGGAATGTGCCCAGGGACCTGAGGGATAGTATGTACAAGTCATGTATTTCTGAGCCCAGGGATTAGGACTGCGGGTAGCCGAAACTCCTGGAAGCTGGGGGCTTACTGAGCTGTCAGGATGTGAAAGGATTCCAGACAGGTCCTTACTGAGCTGTACAGGATGTGAAAGGATTCCAAACAGGTCCTAGATCTCAGAGCAGGTGCCTTCCGGCTTCCCTTCTGGGCATGCTCAGGGTGGCCATTGGCCTCACCCACAAAGACCTCAGAGCTCTACCAGGTGCTTCACAGAAGCACCTACCACACTTGGACATGATGTCCAAACCGGAGGCAGCTCCAAAACGGACCTCAGCACCCCCACCAGTGCATGGGAGGCCATGTGGAGAAGTGGCATGTGTACCTGGTTTGACTCTCTGCTGGTCACAGTAGATCTTACTCAGGCACGTGACCCTCAGCCGTCTCCTGCTGCAGAATGAGATCCTGCCTGCCTCTGCTGGTTAATATGGGTATTCAGTGAGGTCAGGGATGCGGGGACCTGGGAAACCAAACAGCTCACAGAGGACAGCATTTTTCTTTCAGTAAAATCAGATGCTCAAATATTTGTCAAATGAAGATTTCAAAGGCCTGAGCTCTGCCCTTTTGTGTGCCCTGCCCTTTGTGTGTCTGTCAGCTCCATTAAACCACCGCTTGAAGCCAAAGCAGGGTGTGGACATCTGACCTCATGCAATGAAAACTGACAGGAAGACACGGATTGTCCTGGGCCCTGGACAAGGCTTTACAATAACTCCTCTGAAATAACAACTTACTCTGTCAGGCTCCGCCACCGCTCCCATTCCGTGCGCTTAACCAACGGGTCATGTTTATTTTCTTAACTGTGCTTTTCTCCTTCAAATGTATTGTAATGAAAAGGACTAATTTTGTAATCGGAGAAAAGCCATGAAAAATAGTAAAGTTCTGCAAACTCACCACAATCAGCTCACTTCCGTCTCACGCACGGAGGCCTGTGCCTATTTCTCCAACCCCCCACCCCCGCGTGGGGGACCACCAGCACTTCCCACCTTTGTGGGTTCTTGTCATAGGAGAAGACGAGCACTCAGAAGCCTGGTTCTCCCTTCATCAAACCGAGACTTGGTGTAGATACGGCCCATGGGGTCACCTCGGCCACAGCTCTCATGAGCTGCTGCCTTTTGGCCATGAGATGAGTCCTCAGCATCATCCCTGTGTAAACATGGCTGAGCTCCCGGACTCATAGACACAGACCAAACAAGAGCTGGACTGGGGCGGGCGCCGTGGGGCGGGGACCAGCATGGCCCAGAAAGGTCACCTGGGTTCAGAGTCCTGCTTGTGGCCTAGCCCCTCCTCAGCCTTTCCCACTGCGTTCACTCTGGGGGGGGGGCCCAAAAGAGGGCTGGGGATTACAAGGTAGAGAAGTAGACCTTGGAAAGGAAAATGAAAAGAATCCGAATGTATCTTTAGTTTGATGAAGGAAAGAAATCTTAAGTGTTCCAGTATATTAAAAGATCATTTATATGCTATTTTTAGGAAGCTATCAAATATCTCTGTGACTAGAGAACAAGAGGGAATCGGAAAAGCCATTAGTAAAACTTTCCAACCTCAGAGCGAGAAGCCACCAAAAGAAGCTTGAGGCTGCTGGGGACCAGGGCTTCCGTCCTGGGTTCCTTGGGACCTCTGAGAATTTGCCACCTTCAGGGTGGGGAAGGACTGTGTGGATATCAGCGCCTCTTTGACCAAGTTGAGCTTTGCCTTACAGATTCCGTACATAGAAACCAGTGCCAAGGACCCGCCTCTCAATGTGGACAAAGCCTTCCATGACCTCGTTAGAGTAATTAGGTGAGCAGCCCACCCCTGTCTGGAAGGAGCCTCTGTGGCTGGGAAGGGCCCAGCCAGGCTGAGGGTTTGGTAAGGAACCCAGCTCCTGTTCTGGCCAGTTCTTGAGCCTCCTTCTATCCCTTGCCCCTGACTTTCCACCCACCTCTGCCCTCCCCCAGCTGCAGATGGGTCTGTGGGTGGAAGCTGCTCCTCCTGCCACGTGGACCCTCCTTCACCTGCTGAAAGGAAGTGCCTTCCTGCTGAGGTGTGGCACCTCCGCCCCATCCAGCCACCCTGGGTGTTCTCCCAACACCAGAGCTTTCCACCCAGCAAAAACGAGACAGGCCCCTCTCCCCATTCCCAGAGCAGAAGCCCTGGGTACACAGTTTCCCCTGAACAACCAACTGTGTGATTCTGGGGCGCCAATTTCAGGGGAACTGTGTGGGCATCTCTTTTCCAGACCCACAGCTCTCAGCCTTCGAGCAAAGTCAGCTGGCCTGACAAATAGTTTCTTGAACATTCCTTTGTGAGGTCAGAGTCCAGGTGTAATGATCTGGTGCTCAGATGACTGGCTGCAGTCCCTGTCCCCAAGTATCCCACTTCTCAAATCTCCAGCATCCGGAGCCGCCCAGGCCTTGGTGCTCAAGACACCATGCATTGAATCCATTGCCCTCACGCTGGTGACTCAGAGGGCTGTCGGTTAGCTCTGGATGAGACCCAGAGCTCTAACGTTGTCCTTTGCTCGACACCTCCCCATCCCCACTGTCCATCCCTCCCCATCCACCTTGCATGTGCTCAATAATCTCATTTTCTCCTGTTATTTCAGCCTAATGGAAAATACAGCAGGCTTCACTTAACGTTTCTGCTGGCAGCTCTCTCTGCACACTTGAAATGATTTACTCCTGGTCATTCTGTCTCCTGTTAGGATGTGCTACCACCAAGTAGCATATAGGGACATCCTGGTTATGACCTGTACATCTAAGGTCAGGTTTAGACCTAGGAAGAGTTAAAACATGTGAAAAGCTTTTGCAATAAAATGCCAGTTGGCCTGTCATTTAATTTAAAATGTGGAACACAGAAACAGAGGCCAGCACTCTGTACAACCTAAAGCATGATGAAGCTTAGGATTTAAATAAGTATAGCAACACAGCTTGATGACAGTAATTCCCATCAACAGGATGATTTGAGCTTTCCCCTCCTCTTCCTTCCCAGTTTCTTTGCCCTAAGAGACGCTATCCAGCCAGGCCCCTCTCTAGCAGCTAGGACTCCAGTGCCTCCAGATCTGTCCTCCCAAACCCCAGCCCCTGCCAGATCAGGCTCCCTGTGCCTCTGACCCAGGAGGAAGTGGGAGAAGAGAAGCAAAATCCGTTCTGACTTTGTCTTTCTGTCCTTCAATGTTTAAAAGGCAACAGATTCCAGAAAAGAGCCAGAAGAAGAAGAAGAAAACCAAATGGCGGGGAGACCGGGCCACTGGCACCCATAAACTGCAGTGCGTGATCTTGTGACGGCCTGAGTCCCTGGGCACAGTGACAGCGAACTTGCCAGCCCTCGGGACCCCTCCACTGCCTAACTGCACTGAAAACCATTTCTAACCACAACCCTTGGCCTGAGGACTTGGCCCGGGAAGGGAGAGAGGAAGGGTGAGCTGGGAGCAGACAGGGCCTGGCTTTGCCAGAGGGCACGAGCTGTCTCAGATCTCCCATGAGACCAGGAAGCCACCTGTGAACAGAGCAGCCTTTAGCCCCTCACCGGTTGATACACCCGGGTCCCCCCCTTCTCTTGGTGGGTGTGTTGTTCCTTTTAGCTACCTAGTGTTGGTTTGATGTGGGCGTGTTTATCCATGTGCAACGTTCCAAACAAGCCATGATCCAGCTTCCCCCCGCCGCCTGACTCCAAGCCACAGTGTCTGAGCTCAGATGTCTTTTGTAGATTTTTAAATTATTTTAGTGATGATTATTTTATTTAGGGGGGGGGTCTGTGCCCACTGCCTGGTGGAATCCCAGGTCTTCAGCAGACCTCACTGATAACATGGACAGGATACTATTGTTGTCTTCTTCATTGAGTGCCAAACTCAACCCAGAATGAGCAGAATGGCCGAGAGGCCCGAAGTTAATGGGAATGGTATGTAGCTGGGGGTAGTGGGGTAGGGGTCCTCAGGCCATGGGTCATACCCTGGAGGGAAAGCAGCCCCACTCATTGCCTAGAAACTGAGGAGAAGAGAGATGCATTTACCCAGAGGGCTTTTGCTGAGGACGCAGATATCAGAAGACAAAATTTATCTCACCGAGATGAGTGGCAGGTGCAAGCATGTCGTTTCTGAAAGGAGAGTTTGTTATTATTGTCCTGAAAAAATATAAACTAAGGTGAGTGAGTGGCTTTGCACAAAAGTGCATTTATTTTCAGACAGCATGGGTTCGGTTGTTCTCCCCAGGCCGGCGAGAGGCCCTGGGTTTCTCAGATCTTCTCCTGCTCCTGTGCATCACCTGTGCTGCCCAGGGTTTCTCTGATACAAACTCACTGTCATGTCCAAGGAAGCCCCTGTGGACTCCCTCCAGAAAACTCAAGGTCACACAGAATCTTAACCACAAAAGATTCAGTCTGGATCTCCCTTAAACATTACCAGGACCTGAAGCCATTTCCCTGTGAGTCAACCGACCACCACCTCTGTTAAGCCCAGTTACTGAGCAAACCCCTTCCCTTCAAGGGTTAGCGGATTCCTTGTCTCTTTGGCACACACTTTTATTACCCTCTTGGAACTCGACAGTAATACAAGAGCAGAGGAGAAAAGAAGGTAGGGCTCATGATGGGACTCCCAGGTATCTGTTTCTGCATGGGACAGTCCCCCCTGAGAATGCCCACCTCCCTCTCGGGTGCTGCTTGTGGGAGCAAAGACGGGATATTTCCAGCCCTGGTTGGAGTGGAGGGGCAGCCAGAACAACGGTGCCCCCTCTCAGAGGAGGTCAGAAGATGAGGTGGCTTGGTGAGTGACCTTCTTCCCCAGGTGTTACAAATCAGATCGCTGTGCAAATAGAACAGTCCCCACAGGTGACCAGGCTGCTCTCTGGAGAAATAAAGACATGGAAGGAAAGTCAAGAACAGTGAGCCTCCAACCAGTTGACCAGACACCCGGAATCTTCTCTGTTCAGAAAGTGTGCCGGGATCCTCACTCGGCCAGATCACCAGCACCAAGGGATCAGCCAGAAGAATGATTCTGCTGCAGGGGGGAACCCGTGTTGGTTGGAAATCAAACTTCCTTTTTGTCAAAATGCACCCCTTCCCTTTATTTTTTCCTGTTCCTACAAGAAAGGATAAGAGAGAACATTCCAGATGAGGCATTTCAGAGTTTCCAGGATCCTATAATGTTAGCGAGTATTTTAAACACTAAAAGGCCACGGCTCTTTCTAACCCTGAGGCTCCTCTGAGCCCGGTCTGCAGCAGGCACGTGAGTGGTTTTGTGTGTGGTTTCATCTCCAGCTGCATCCTCAAGATGCAGAGCAATGAGCACAGGGGTGCTTTGCATTGGGAGTGGCAGAGGAGGACAGGAAGCCCTGCACACAGGGCAGCGGCCACTGCCAGAGAACTACCGAGCACCACCCACCACCAGCACACCCCCTGCCCACAGGGCGCTGCAGCTCTAACCGCACCCACTGGGGTGTCTCATTGGAAGCAGACCTACAACAGGGCCCTGAGCCATAAAGGTAACCAGAAGAGGGGTTTCCCCATCCTGGTTCCCCTCACATACAAACGGGGTGGTGTATCTGCCACCATCCCCATCTTCCAGAGCATCTATCCTAAACTCAAGCCACAGCTGGACTCCACAGGGCCTAAGGAGACTCTGGTTAAGGGTTGGCCTCTGTTTTGGGACCAATGGTGCGCTTTCTCCTATGACCTCATTTCCCCCTTTGGTTAGGTGGATAGATAACACCCCATCTTTAGAAATGGACCCTTGGAGAGATGCTTCTCCAGCTACCCAGGTAGGCTGAAGTGGAGTGTATCCAGGAACATCCCTAGTATATCTCTGTCCCCACCTGACCTGGCAGGGTCAGTCTGGGGAACCTGATAATCATGCTACTCCATGACTGAGGGGCCTACGGGGCTTGTGGCTGGACCATCGTCATGTTCCCACAGCTTTTCCTGAGAGTAGTACTACCTGCACATGCCCTAGAGCATACCCTTCCTGAAATCCCCTCATCCCGTGGCTTAGTCCTTGTGTGCTCTCAGATTTCCTCCTATTCTGACACCCTCCTCAGAGGGTTCCATTTCTCCCCAGAGGTAACCCAAGACCCATCTTCCCCATCCCCGCAGGCTGGGGCTGGGGCACACAGGGGACATCTGGATGGTTTATCTTAGGACTTTGCTCACCACCTTCTCGTGGTACTTGATATGGAGGGTACCATGAGACCTGGTGTGACCTGTCTCACTTCACCAGGAGACATGATCTACTAACATGTGTCAGCTCTAACCCAAAGGCCCCTCTGACAGGTCCCAGTAAATCCAGAGCCACAAACAGGTCCCCTCCATTAGCAGCCCGTTGGGTTGGAAATTCCATGTCAGATTTACTTAGAAGGAGATACTTGAATCGCTGAGTGCCGCTGGGTGCCCAGCTTCTGTTTCACAGTATTAACAGGTGGCCGTTGTTGTGAAACGAGAGTGAAGCCTGAACATCTCGATGATGCTTGAGCCTTTTATGTAACTTTTTATTAAGTCTTTGTGTATCTTGACTCATTAATAAAGAAATGAAGAGATGCCTGTCTTATTTCCTCTTTTTTCAAAGATTCCTAAAGTTTTTGCTGAGAACATTGCAGTTTGTCAAGCGTTTCACCCAGTGTACCCATCTCTCCCAGAGTGTGACTTTGGTCTTTACCAAACCTAAAGTAAGGAGGGAGCCTGCTGGTGGCCCTGGGGGGGGGTGTTTCCTGAGTGGAGTGAGAGGATGAAGGCAGGTTGGTGCAGCATTGAGGGGTAGACCTGGATGTGGGCCCTGCCATTGACCTCTGTGTGCCCTTGAACGAAGGACCTGCTCTAGTCTTTAGCTGCTGTACCTGAATGGACAGTGATACCCACCTCCTGAGCAGTTCAAGGACCAAAGCTAAAGGTAGGGAGCATATAGTAAGGAGCCCAGAAATAGTGCTCTTCAGACGGGGTCCTATGGAGTTATCCCTGCATGGAGAATGTCCCCTGCCCCCATCTACTGGGGTACAGTCTTCAGTCAATGTAATTTCACTTCTTTGTTCATTGAACCCCGTGGGAAATAGACCAAGCTGAGACATCAAGACCTCTTTTCCAGAGTATAGAAGTCATAGCCCTCTCATGGATACCTCTTTGGATAACTGTAGCTGAAACCCATAAATAGAGGCTGAGGATGCTTCTTACACCCCTTAGCCTGAGAACAGAGAAGGATGGAGGGGAGAGGGGGAATGTGGTAGATAGCTCAGGCCTGGCTTCCTGCCCTTTCATTTATTTATTCCACAAATACGTATCGGGCTGTGCTGTATGCCAGGCCCTGGGCTGGGTGCAGGTGTGTGGTGGTGGGCAAGGAAAGGGGTCTTCTGATGATTCGCTCCTCCTCCTCTAGCCCTGAATTCATTTCTTGTGGCTGTTGTAAGAAATTCCCACAAACTTAGTGTTTTAATATGGAAATGTCTTCTCTCATAGTTCTAGAGACCAGAAGTTCAAGTTCAGCTTGAACTGGAGTCAAGGTGTCCACAAGGCCATTCCTACCTGCAGGCCTCCAGGAGAGAAAGACTCTTTGTCTCTCCTAGAGTCTGGTGGCGGCCGAAGTTCCTCAACTTGAGACCGTGTCACCTCATTCCTCAAAGCCAGCATCTTCAGATCTCTTTCTTCTCCAACTTCACGTTGCCTTCTCCGTGTGGGTCAAATCTCCCTCACTCTCAGCCAACGCCGCCTCCCTCACCAAGAAGCAGAGTTTCCAGACTTCTTCCCACCTCCACCCACCCTCCAGCATCTGCACCGTATGCTCTGCCTTCTGGGTTATTCCAGACAAACAATCCAGGCTCCTAGCTGAAGCCAGCGCTTTCTTTGGGGCCCTAGAACACACCAGGACATTATTCTGGCACTTCTCCCCGCCCCCTTCTGTATCATTTCCTTCCTCTCCTGCATCTTTCTCATCTTAAACAAAAGTAATGCCTTTCTTTGACCCACTTCCTCTACCAGATACCACTTGCTTCTCTGCTAACTTTGGCCAGAAATCATCTTAAAAGAGTAATTACACTCACTGTCCTCTCATTTCTCTTTAAAGTGCTCCCGTTATAAGCTGAGATGACAATAAGAGTCACCTTTATGATTTCAAACAAAAAAAAATTTGCTTCAAATGAAATTTCACTTATCACTTCACGCCTTCCCGAGGGGCCGTCATCGCCAGTGGCCTCTGCCTTGCCAAGTTCCAGGGCTGGCCCTTGGCCTCCACACACCTCAGCACAGCTTCTCCTTGTAAACATCCTTCCATTGGCTTTTAGGATGTGGCCATCTCGTGGTCCTCCTGCTTCTCCACCCGTCTATCACTCCTTCTTAGTCTCCTCAGCTGGTTCTTTCTCTCTGGTTGACTTTGGAGCACCCCAGTGGACAGATCTTGGTCCTTGGCTCTCTTTCTTGATCTCTTCCAATCTTGAGATTTAAATGCCTTTGGTATACTGATGGTTTCCTGTTGACCGTCTCCAGTTTAAAACTCTGTCCCAACCCTGCTCCTACAGCCACCTGCCTACTTGACCTCTCCACTTGGATGTCCCAGGCCCAGTATATCAAAGCTATGTCCAAAACTGAGTTCCTGGTTGTCCCCTCCCATGCCTGCCTCACCCGTAGCCTCCCTGGCACCCCCTGCTTCCCGGTGCTCGGGCCAGGAGACCGGGAGTTGCTTTTCATTCCCCTATTTCTCCCACACTCCCCATCCAGTCAGCAAATCCTGCGGGATCCCCCCTGCGCACTGTGTCTGGAATCTATCTGTTTCTCTCCACCTCCACCGCTAGCTTTCTAGCCCAAGGTGACTCCATTCCCACCTGTCTCACTCTTGTCTTCCTGAAGTTCACTTTCTACCTTGCAACCACAGAATTCTGGGTAAAATGAAAGTCAAATTATGTCTCCATTCTGTCCAGACCCCCCCCCACCCAATGGCTCCCCCATCTCATTTTTCAGAAGTGTCAAGGTAGGTTGTCACTGAACGGCGAGGAATGAATGGCTGATGTCTATCAACCGCAAGAGAAGGGCAGTCCCTTCATTCTGGCAACAAGTACCCTTGGAGCTCTGAGCCACACATCAGGGCCACAGAGAATAGTAAAACCCAGGTACTGTGTCACAGAGGGGTGCAGATGGAAAAACCTGACGTCTATGCATTAAGAGGAATCCCTTGACCTAGGGGATCTGAGAGGGGACGCTCATAAACCTTGCACGGGCCTAGATAACGGAACAAAAATTAGTATTGGGCCCATGAATTCCACCACTCTTGGAGGTGAAAGGTTTGCCTTTTCAGCCCATGTTCCAAGGCCCATAAAAGAACTATTTTAAATGAATCCCACCTCCATCTCTGCTCACTTTTGAGAGGTCATGGATAAAAGTTCCCATGTCACAGATGTCAGCATTGTCATTACTCCGGGATCTTATTAGATATGCAGACTCTTGGGCCCTGTTCCATATATGAACCAGAATCTGCATTTTATCACATGCCCAGTGACTCGTATACCCACTAATTTGAGTGGCACTGCCTTAAAACATCAAGCTTAAAATGGGAGTGAAAATCCAGTCCTGGATCCACTGTGCCTCAGGACCCAGCTCAACCACATCCAACTAGAGGAAGCTTTGTTCACGTGCAAACAGCTGCCAGATTCTGCCTGGCAAGCAGGGAGCTCAGAGGTGGCCTCCCACAGCCAGCACACATGTCCCTTAATGACAGGAGGCTTTTGTACAAAGGCCAGTGGGTTCTCAGTTTGTCTCTCAAACACTCTGACATTTTTCTTAAAATGTGGACCACTACGTTAAATATAAACAACAAGCAAAATCTGATGATCTGAGCTGGGAATTCTTGAAGCACTCTAAATAAAGGGTGAGATAAGTTGCAAGCTAGAGATACACTCATTTCCCAGAATTTTCACTTTCCGTTGCTCTTGAGCTCCAACATCATGCCAAATAGCTCATTATCGGGCTAATGTGAATATTTAGACATAAAAAAAAAAGGAAAGCTGAATTCATACCAAGCAAAGAACTGATGAATGCGTTCAGTACAATGTACATCCTGACAATTGTGGGTCAACCATTAACTCCACCTCAAATCCAGCTGGTGACACAATCATGACTGTGCCTGGGCCTATAGACAAAGGTACACACCACGGTTCTCCAACTGTGGCCTCCAGACCATCAGCCTCAGCATCACCAGGGAATTGGTTAGCAATGCACATTATCCATCCCCACACGGGACCCACGGAGTTAGAAATGCCAAGGTAAGTCTGAGGAATCTGGGTATAACAAACCTTCCAGGGGATTCTGATGCTCCCTAAAGTTTGAGAATGACCAAATTAAATAAATGTGGGTAAAAGTCAAAGTTCCTACCCCCATGGAGGTAAATGGCAGTTTGGTCTATTCTTACCTGCAAGGCAGCTGGGGGCCCTCTGGGAAAAGTTACCCAGGTCCTTCCTCTTTCCTCCCTGCACCTGATTCATGAGGATCCCTCAAGGTCTGGGACCAGCGTCCCCTGTCTAGGGATTATTAGCCTTGGCTCCACAGAGTTACAGGAGGGGCAGCTGACACCCTGAAATCCTATGCAAAATTATGGGTCTCCATGCATCATCCTGGGGAGACGGTTGTGTTCCATCAGATTCTCACTGTACCTCTGGGTGTTGCCCAGAGTGAAGCTGAACCAGCCTCTTAAACCTTGTGTTCTGATGGTCACAGCCCCAGAGAACGGGAAGAGGAAGTGAAAGGAGCAAAGACCCATCTACTCCACCGCTTCTAAGAAGCGCTGACAAAACTGTCCCCTGGGTGGATGCGTCCCTCATTTCCCTCCCACGATATCCTGAGGGAGGGGAGGGAGGCAGCTGCTCCTCTTCTCCCAGTTCCCCCCACGTGACTGAGGGTGTAGTTCACACATGACTCACCTCCCTCCCTCCCCACCACAGCTAACACCACCAGCCCTTCTGGCCCCCAACACCCTGGTCCAAAACTGACAAAGGAGCAGAGAAAATTCAGGGTATCATGACAGCCCCAGGACTATGGGGCAGCCCATCCCTAGAGTGGGAAACAGGGGCAGAGGAGAGGTGGGAGGATTGCAGAGAAAGTGCTGGAAGCCAGAAGCCAGATGCTATCCACTCGAATTCACAACCACCCAGACCAGTGGTTTGCAACTCTGGCTGTATATCAGACCCACTCAGGGAGCTTGGGACATAAACTCACTGCACTGGGCTGGGGCATCAGGTCTTCTGACAGTGCCCTGGTGAACTTCGTATGCAGCTGTTCTGAGATCACTAGCTGGAGTGCATTTTATTAACGTCCCATGAATATTATGGCTTTTCAGTAATCATTTTATTTAAAAAATCAGCAGCCTGGAGAATCCAATATCAGAAGTTACTAAAGGAACCCAGCGTCCTTTGTGTGCAAATGAATGTTGAACCATTGATGATTTTCTCTTAGCATTAAAGCAGGTCCGCTCAGAGCCTGGCTGAACTTGTTCGCTTAGTAGACCCCACACCACAGTGGTTTCTCCTTTGCCCACATCCCTTCCGTGTTTATGTTCCCAAGTCTCTGGAAGGGCCCCGAGATACAAAGTCAATGCCTTATGTTTATGAAGTGAGCTAATCCTGACTACAGATGTAAGCCTCCATGCCTTAAAAAGTAAGTCAGGGGCTGGGGCTGGGGCTCAGTGGTAGAGCGCTCGCCTTGCATATGTAAAGCCCTGGGTTTGATCCTCAGCACCACATAAAAATAAATAAATTAAATAAAGGTATGGTGTCCATCTACAACTAAAAAAATATTTAAAAAAAGTAAGTCAAGTTGGGCCAAATGACCCTCTTCTACCTCGAGTCCCAGAGCTTGTGGTAGTCCCCAGGCCCATTGCAAACTTCAAATAGTTCTCCAAGGTCAGGATCTCCCTGGTGACCTCTGCATCTGTCTCCGTTCCCCACTCAACTTCAACCCCAGAGAAGTAAACTATCATGCAGGGTCTCAGACCCAGGGAACAGGGTTCAGGGCTCAGCAGGTGGAAGCAGATTCAAGACACAGTCAGGATAGCAGATGGACTTTATTCGGAGCTGGCAGCAGCCCCCAGCCAGTTCCATTTTGCCCCCATTTTCCGTAGGCCCTTTTTATATGTCGGCTGACAGGTTACATAAGGGGGCACATGCTCACAAGTTACTGTTTATGACCTTCCGTATATAGGCTGAAGAAGAGTATTTCTGGCCTTGATCACCTTAGCATAGTTGGTTCCCAGCCCCAGCTACATACGCAAAACGTAACACAGCCCACCAGAAGTCTCAAAGAGGGAGCCTAACTACAGCCATTTTGGGGGCCTGCCCACATATAAACCCAACTCTTAGCAACCATTCCTGAGCTTTGCCAAGGGCTTGAGGGCCCCAGGGATGGTCCCTCTAATGTCAGGGGCCTCTTAATTAGTCTTCACACAGACCCTCCACCAACCCAGCTCCTCCCCAACCCAACATCCTCCCCCACTAAGCAAAACACCCCTCCCCCGGCTTCTCTCAACCTCATCTGTGTTCTTTAGCCACGAGGCCATCATCTTTTCCTAGAGTCAGTTGTGATTCTGGCTGCTTATAGGGTGACCGTAACACCTCCAGTGTGCTCAGGACTGAGGTGTCTTCTGGGAGGCTGATCTTTCATTGCTCAATCAAGACAGTCCCAGGTCAACCAGTTCTGTTGGTCACCTTCCTGGTAAGAAGAAAATGTGCACTGTGTCCTATGATGATAGCACTAATAATTATAAATTAGCCAGAGGTTCTCAGTCTTTGGCAACCATCCTCATCTCCTGGGAGGCTGGTTGAAACACAGGTTTTTATGATTTAGCAGGTCTGGGTGGGGCCTGAGAATCTGCTTTTCTAAGGAGTTCCAAAGTTGTGTGAAGTTACTCATCTGGGACCCCCCCCCTACTTCAAGGAGCCTGGATTAGCAGATCCACAGCACACTTAGGCAGAGTGCTTGACCCCGAGCAAAGGCACAATACATAGAGTGACTGACATGGTGGAGCACTTCCTGTAAACTAGACACTGTGGACTGTGGGTTTTGCGCATACTATCTCGTTTAATGCTCGCAACCACCCTCAGAGGTTAAATGATCTTGCTTGTCTAACAGAAAGGGAAACCCACAGCCCAGGACGGTGGGAAGTGACTGAGCCTGGACGTGCATCTGGCTCTGGCTCCAATTTACCTGTGCTCCATTCACACCAGCCCTACTGTGGCTAAGGACGGAGCTCATCCCAGCCTGGGCTTTTTAAAATTTTACCTCTTGTTTGAGGAAAAATTTTCAATGCATCTCCCACATCCCCGCCTTCTCCCGAGTGGGCTGCATGTAGATCAACTTCCCCAGGGTGACTCAGCACCCGTTGAGCTTCAGTGACAGTCATTTTCCGGAGCATGTGCCCTGGGCCTCCTCCCACCAGACCTCTCTGTGGCCCAAGCAAGGGCTGTGGCCTGGTCCTTTGTCATTGAAATGTTCCCTTGGTATAAGACACCATGACTGTTTTCTCATTATTTCCCAAATAAATCCAGACTTTTGGTGCCCTGGTTGGAGTGGCATTGCTAAGGTCTCTCCTGCTCCTGGTACAGCGTGGCTATGTGTGGTGGTGAGGAACAGGCTAACTAGGCCTCTCTGGCAATGCTGCTGCTCATGGTGACCTTTTAGGCAAGTTGTCCCACCTCTCCAGGTCTCCATCTCCTCATTTGTCAAATTGGGTTGACGATAATGAAACTTGTTAGGTCTATTGGGCTATTGTTAGTTTTGAAGCCAATATGTAATTTCAGAATAATGGCTGACACGGAGATACTGTAAAGGTTAGCTGGGATCCCAGAATCAAATCAACAAGTGCTTTTTGAATGCCTCCTGGTCACTGCTGTCACGGCTTATTGAAACTTAGGATATACCAGTCCTGGTTTGTATGGGTTACCTCATTTAAGTCATGAAGGAGTTGGGTGATTTGCTCATGCAGCAGGACCCCTACACACACCCCACCTGGGCCAGGGCATTCACCAAGGCGGCTCACACCCCATGTGCTGACCACAGCCCCTGCTCTCCTACCTCTCCTGCCTGCCTTATACCCCTAGCCCTGGAAATTCTTTACCTCCAAAATAGTATCCTGTGATCCTCTAACTCATGGATCCTGGGCTTCCCTAGACCCAGCTCTTCCCCAGCTTCCCTTGTCAATCAAATCAGATTGTCAATCAAAACAGGCTTCAGTATGAAGAAGCTTAAAATCTCTATTCAGAGATGCCACTCCTAGGACCCTCTTCTAGAGGAATAATCAAGATGCAAAGAAAAATGAATGAAGATGATCTTTGCATTCATAAAACAAAAATTACAAAGGCTTGAAGTGAATAATAATTGGGAAATGATGGAGTAACAAATCCTATACCCATATAATAAAGAATTATGTAAACAGCATGAGAAATGTTCATTTCCTCTGTTTTCCCTATTCATGGGTGTTATCATTTTGGGGCATCTTTTCTTAGAGGAAACAGTTTTATTTTACTTTCTCTTTGCCCCTCAGTAAGATCGTACTTTCCAAGGCTTACGAATTTTTATTTCTTATAAATTGCCTGCTTATACCCTTTCTTTAATTTTTGATTAGTGATTTCATTTTCCATATTGGTTTTTTTAATTGTAAAATGCTTCCCTAAAATACAATTTCTCTTTTAATTGTATCGATGATTTATTTTTACACTATAGGCATTTCTCTCAACCCCCATCCCCTGCGGTTTAGAGGTCAAACCCAGGGCTTCATGCACCCTAGACAAGCCATCGTCTACCACTCAGCTACATCCCCAACCCTACTACAGACATTTTCCACTTCAAACGTTCAGAGCTATCATTTTCTCCTTTGTGGTTTTTTTGTCTTTGATATAATAGTAACATTGTCCTTTCTCCTACAAATATTATTTTCTCTTAATACCTTTCATGGTTCCACGTTTTTTTACAGATGACATTTTATCCATAAAACAGAGAAACCGACTTGTCCATACCTCATACCGTTACATTGGGCGTTAAATACCAAATTTATGAAGAGTTTTAGGAACAGTAACTGGCACACAGTAGGTTCTTTGTTGTTGGCTATTTTCGATTTAAATATCAGTTTGTTGGCAATTAATTCTGGAACTCGGTGTGCAATAGCTTTTAGCTTCATGTCGAGCCTATTGTCCCGTCACCATTTATTTATCCTGTCCTGTGGCAGGAATGCAGTATTTTTGCTGACCCTGAGTGGGAATTCCCTTTGCAGAGCTATGAGCTGGGAGTGAGACTATTCCAAAACTCCCCACTCACCCTCCCACCCTGTACTCACCCCTGTGCCAAGTTCATGAAGGGTTTCCCAGGGTGCAGGATGAAGATGTGCCAGCCAACACCTCCTTCCTTTCCCAGCCCAAGTTCAGAGATGCATAGCCTCAGTCCTTCCAAAAAATCTGCCCCTTTCCCTTCACTTTAACCTCAGACCAGCAAGATCCCATTTTCTCCCCTCATAGCCCATTAAATACATTGACCAAGGTTGCCAAACCCCTACCTGCCCAGGCCAGCACACCCAGGTAGGAGGCAAGAGGAGGACACTTGCTTTGACCTACACTGGGTGAAGACAAAGGGGTTGGGAGAGTTCCCTCCCTTCTGGGGACACCCAGGCAGACACCCTGGCCACTGCCAGTTCCTGGGCTCTAGTAAGGGTCAAATGTTTCTAAAGCCCAGACACTGTTAATTCCTCTCCCTTCTTAACCTTGCCATCCCTAAGGAAGTCTCCAGAAGCAAAAAAATTTTCTCCAGGGAACATGGTATCAAAGGTTAGGGAAGGAGATGGAATTCATTGATAGATCACATCTTTTTGAAAATTAAAAAAAAAATTGCCCAATGCCCAGTTGTGAAGGGCTCACTGTATGCTAGACAGAGCCAATGCCTCAGAGCCCTGGGAGGGCTATACTGAGGTGGCTCTTGCAGGAATGGTGTCCCCTGGCTCTTGCATCTGTAAGGCATGTGCCAAGAGGTTTCAGGACACTCATTCTCACAGGAAACTCCTCAGAGGGAGATGCTGAGCTTTAGAGACGTAAATACCTCCCAGGGTCTCACAGGCCTGGTGGAAAAGCTAGGACTCAGACCTAAGTGTGTCTGACTCGATCCCATGCCTATCCCAAACTAGGATCAGAGGACATTTCCTCACTAGCCATGTGGCCCTGGGCAAATTATTTTAACTCTGTGTGTCTTTGTTCCTGCATCTGAAAGCCCAGAATCATGTGAGTACTTACCTGTACGGCTGTTGGGAGGACTGAATGAGTTAAAGCACCCACAGAAGTGGCATAGACACAGAAATTTCTCAGGACTCCATTCTTGCTATTTTTAGCATTACAAGCATAGCCTGATAATTCCCACTTGTTCTGCAGGGAAGCCTGGACAATGCCTCTCTAGTCCACCAGAGGGCGCCATTGCAGAGAGAACGGGTCCCTTTCCAGCAGCATCTCTGCGCGGATTTGCAGGGAAGGCCTCCCGCTCCACAGAGCCTATCTTCTCCAAAAAGATCTCAAAGGTGAGACCCCTCAGCCCACCTATCCCTGCTCTCACCCCTGATGTCTGGAGGCTTCCTAACCCTCCAGAGCTGCTTGTCCTAAGGAAATGTGTGTCCAGATTGCAGGTTCACCATTTACATTTGCCAAATGTTTGACTCAGGACCAGGCCACCGACGCCTCTCAGCAACTGTTCCTCCAACCTGAGGCCAGCCTGGCTCTTCTGGACGCTTCATGCTGAAAGCCAATCCCAGACCTGATACAGCTAACCTCACATGCCTTCTAGAAACAGATGACACCACCTGTCTGAGCTTTCCAGGAAGATGCAAGGGATGTGGAGTCCCCAACACCGACTTTCTGAAAGGCTCTGTTGACTCCATTCTCCCAAAGGTCTACCCTTGAAGGTCTTAGGACTTCCAAGAGCCCGACCTCTGGCCTCTTGCATGTTCACTCTGAACCCAGCATTTCCCTAAGTGCTGAGTGAGGGCCTCCTGCCTCAGATTGGGATTAGAACTTTCCAGGTAGACTCTAAAGCCCCCCTTTGGGCCAGGGATCCTCCAAGTGCAGTCCTAGCACTAGGACAACAGCTCTCCTGGGAGCTGGGAAGAAGTGCAGATTCTCCACTCCTCAGACTCACCGAATCCAAAACTATGGGTCAGGGCCCAGGGCTGCACAGGGAGGTTTGAGACCCTGGCCAGCTCCCTCCCTATTTCCTGGAGCTACAGGATCCTTTCTGCAGATAGGGTTGGTACTGAATCCCCTCCTCCAGTGCTGCAGTGGATCTAACTCACCATTCCATGGGTGCTGTGGTGCACCATCTGACATGGCTGTGGTGAGTCTTTTCCCCATATGATTATGATCAAAGCTACCATGACTTTAGTTTTTAATCTTAAATGAAAATTTGTGATGTTTTTGTTATAGTCACTGAACAAGTAGAAAGAAGCCTGACTTGTGGCAGCCAAACTCCATTAACAAGTTCCTTGATCTATCTCGTTTCCAACAGCTATATTTTCTCCTCTAGAGCAGGAGGAGGTTACACTGAGACCCAGACAGGGAGGAGAGGCAGGCCCTCTTCTGTCTGCCATGGTGTCCGTGAGAGCCCCTGCCCTAGGGAGGCATGGAACAGTATGGCGCATGGGAGAATGAGAGGCCCAGACATGTTCCCTAGGGAGCTCCTAGTCTTAGGTAAGCTTTTGGCACAAAGTATGGAAAGTTCCTTCTCTGCCCTGCTGGTCACCACCTCCAAGAGAAGAAATTCATGGAACCCAGAATCACCATCCATCCAAACCCCACACACATCTAGTTAGAGAGAGAGAAAAAAAAGACTTATTTTCTGTGAAAAATGGATCCAGGGGCATTGTTATGGTTTGGATGTGATGTGTCCCCCAAAAGCTCACATGTGAGACAACACAAGAAGGTTCAGGGAAGAAATGATTGGATTGTGACAGCCTTAAGCCAACCAGTGAATTAATCACCTGATGGGATTAATTGAGTGGTAACTGGAGGCAGGTGGGGTATGGCTGGAGGAGTTGGGTGTTGGGGACGTGGTTATCTGGTTATCGGGTGTATTTTTGTATCTGGCGAGTGGAGCCTCTCTGTTTCTTGATCATCATGTGAGCTGCTTCCATCTGCCACACTCTTCTACCATGATGTCCTGCATCACCTGGAGTTCCAAGAAATGGAACCTGCTGTCTATGGATGAAACCAGAAGCCCCTGAAAAAACTGTTTTCTCCTCTACTGTTGTTCTGGTCAGGTCCTTTTAGTCACAGCAGCGAAAAAGCTAAAACAGACATCATGGGCTGTGGCTGTGGCTCAGTGGTAGAGCGTTTGCAGAGCATGTGTGAGACACGGGGTTTGATCCTCAGCATCACATAAAAATAAATAAATAAATGAAGATATTGTGTCCATCTACAACTAAAAAATATTTTAAAAAATAAAACAAAGCAGGCATCATGTAAACAAAGCTCTCTTAATGACGCTGAAAGCTTCTGGAAAATAAATACTTTTAAAAATGACCAATGCACTTACATTTACAACCCCAATGGGTTGAGTCATGATGCTATAAACAGAAGATACGCTCAAGTCCTAACCTCCAATGCACATGATGTGATTTAATTTCTAATTAAGGGTCTCAAGGTGGGAATCATCCTGGATTTAGAGCCGGCCTGAAATCCAATGACTGGGGTCCTTATAAGAGGAAGAAGTTGGTGCCTGGACTCCGAGGGCGGAAGGCCCTGTGAAGACAAGCAGAGGTTGTAGTGATGTTCCGACAAGCCACCAGGACTCAGGGGACTACCAGAGCTAGGAGAGAGGCGGTGGGCCATTGATAGAGCCAATCCTATCAATGTCCTGATCTTGAATTTCTGGCCTTACCTACTATGAGCAAATAAATGTCTGCTGTTTGAAGCCACCCTGTGGTAGTTTGTTAAAGCAGCCATAAGAAAGTAAGTAACATTATGGTAACGAAGCGGAAGTCTAGAAAGAAAATGAAAATGCGGTGGCAATATTTATCTTGCCAAAGATGACTCAGAAAGAAGTGGAAAATGTGAACAGCTCAGTGACATTCACAGAACTGGGAAATCTTGTTTAAAGTTTTATCACTTTACAAATCACACGAGATTGTTTGACAGCTAAACTTTACTTAATTTTCCCCCGATTCCCTTGTCACACAAACTATAAAAGACTTGAGAGGAAAGCTGCTCCATCATTTCATAAAGCTAGAATAACTTGGTGCTGAAATCTGGCAAAGCTGGTAGGAAAAACAAAGGGGAAATTTTGCTTATGAAATATAATATTAATAAACCTAACAGTGGATAAAAAGAATATGGAGGGACAAAGAGAGTTTGCTTTTATGAAAAGCTGCTCTTCCTCACACCTCAGTCTTGGCAGAAGCCCGGAAGGAGGGAACAGGAGCAGACTTGTGAAGGCTGCATCCTCAAGGGAGGCCCGGATGTCTGTGGCAGACCACCAGGTTCCCCTTGGGGCTGGGTGCGACTCAGAGGTACAGTCTTTGTCTGGTGGGCACAGGGCCCTGGGTTTCATCCTCAGCATTCCCAAAACAAAATCAAGAGGTTCTCTTCAGAGAGATCAAGAGTGAGCATGAGGGGGTTTTTGGAAAGTGTGGCCAAGAAGCATTGTGGCCTCCCACTTTTCCTCCCTCCTCCTATAAAAGGAGGGTCCTAGGACCCAAGGGCCAGAGGACCCATAGCAATTCCAGGGGCAAGGCTGTGCCTGCAGCTGCCCTTGTCTGGTCAGACCATGGTGATGAGGAAGACCTGTGCTTCCCCCCTGGTCAGCAACCAGGCACATATTTCCCAAGGCAAGAGGGAACCCTAGGGAAGAGGGCAGTACTTGGCAGGACTCCCCACATGTGGCAGGACCACCCAGAGGCCAAGGGAGAGTGTACACTGCCAACTGGGGGTGGCCGTGCCTGGAATGAAGGCCCTGTTGGGAAGAGAACCTGGCTCAGTGCTGAGGAGAAAATCCTGTTGGTGATGGTAGGTGCCTTGGTACCCAAGGCTGCCAAAGCCAGGCGACAGTGCACCAAGCCAGCAGGACCTGCCGGCTCCTCATCTCTGCCCAGGTGTTTTGGATTTTGCTAATTATCTTCTGGTTGTTGAGCTCCAGTTTAATTCCCCTGGGCCGAAGAATGCATCCTTTTAATTTTATGGCCTAGCATATGGTAACACCTGAAAAGACTGAAATAGGTCATTTTGTGATACAGATAATAATTGTTAGGTTTTGATAGTGTTTTTCAGATCTTCTATATCTTTATTGATTTTTTAAAAAATCTAGTTCTATCAGTGGCTGACAGAGGGGTATTAAAACCTTCAATTCTAATTGAGAAATGTTTAATTCTCTCTTTAATTAATTTTTTAATGTGAGAAAAGGAAACTAATATCCAATTGGATTAAGAGAAAACAAAGAGCAAGCCACATACTTAAACCCAAAATATATCAACTATAACATTAAATACAAAAGGACTAAACACTCCAATTAAAGACAGAGGTTATCTAGCATTTTTAAATCATGCTACTTATGTATATAAGGAACACTCTTGAAACATAAGAACAGGGATATGTTACAAAAAAAAGGATGGAATGAGAGAGGCGCTCTCAGGGGGAGAACAGAAATCTAGCAGGCAAAATAGATTTCAAGACATGGAGAACCATCACAGATAAACAGGGACCATTCAAAAATGATAATCAGGGGGGCTAAGGATGTGGCTCAAGCGGTAACGCGCTCACCTGGCATGCGCGGGGCGCTGGGTTCGTCCTCAGCACCACATAAAATAAAAATAAAGATGTTGTGTCCACCAAAAACTGAAAAATAAATATTTAAAAATTCTCTCTCTCTCTCTCTCTCTCTCTCTCTCTCTCTCTCTTAAAAAAAAAAGATAATCAGAGACAATGGATCATAAAAAAATGGTGGCTTTGTTAGGAAGGCATAGCTTCAACATACATGAAGCAATCTTTGACAGACCCAAAAGAAGAAATAGACAAATCAACAAGGTTGAGATTTTAATTCTCTTTTCATTGACTTATAGAACAGCCAGAAGAAAAAATTAGTAAGGGAATTGAGTAATATTGTCCAAATAGAAGGACATCTAAATAATATTGTCAGTCCTCTTGATCTAAGTGACACTTGTAAACTATTAGACCCAGGACTATCAAATGCACTTTCTTCTCAAGCACACATGGGCCATTAAACAAGACTGAACACATGTATGAAGACTCAGATCATAGAAGGTATGTTCTCCAACCACAATGGAACCACAATGGAATTAAATAAGAAATCAATAACAAATAGACTAGAAAGTCCCCCCAACAATTTAAAAGAGACTGCTAAATAATCAATGATTGTTCATTTCAAGAATCAATGAATGGAAAATAGAATATTGATAACTGAATGAATAAGGAAGCTATAACATATTGAACCAAAACCTGACATAAGAAGAAACAAAATGTTTGAACAATCCTATGTGTTAACAAAATTAAATCAATAATTAAGAACCTTCCCACAAATAAAATTCTAGACTTAAATGGATCCACTGGCCAATTCTACAAAATATCAACGGATGAAATGGTACCAAGCGTACATAAATGCTTTCAAAGCATAGAGAAAAAAAAAGAAAAATTCTCAATTCATTTAAAGAGGGAAGCATAGTCCTGATATCCAAAATTGGCAAGGGATGTGGATGTCATTCAGTGGTGGAGCATGTTCTTACCTTGGGTGAGGCCCCTGGTTCAATCCCCAGCACACACATACCCCAAATGGACAAGGAACGAGTATCACAGGAGCCAAAAATATCAGACCACTAAACCCCATGAACATCGATGAAAAAATTCTAAACAAAATATTAGAAAATCAAATCCACTAACAAAAGGATAATACCTAATGACCAACTGAGTTTTGTCCTGAGCAAGCAGGATTTATATATTAATATATAATATATATTATATATGGTGAATATGGTGACATAGTGATATATGTATATATCTTACCATAATTCTGCATTAACAGAATAAAAAAAAGGAAATCATACAATCATCTTTACAGATTTAGAAAAAGCAATCGATCAATTCAAACATTGTAAACTAATATAAGAGGAGAAATTCCTTAATCTGATAAAGGACATCTTTTTAAAACAGCTAAATTATAATGACATCATGATAAGATAGTGAATAGTTTCACTCTAAGATCATGAATGAGACAAGACTTAGCTCTCACACCTATTCAACATTTTCAACATTATACTGGAGGCCCCAGCCACTCCAAAAATAGAATGAAAAAAAATACGATTGAAAATTAAGAAGTAAAAATGTGCTTATTATCAGATAACATGATTTGGGGGAGAATAAAATAACCAACAGGGAAAATTATGATTGCTCTCTGACCTTTAAAAATGTTTAACAAAACATTGAAAACTGTGTTATTATTAATTATGAATACACAGGGAAATAAGAAAAACAGTGAAACACTTATTTAGTCCTCTGTAATTTAAAATATTAGAAATATTGAAATATCTACTAAAATAAAAATTCATATATTTTATGACCAAGTAATTAATTCCACATGACAGACAGCATATACCCATCTAACAATATGTACAAGAATTTTCATAGAAATTTTATTCACAGTAAAATACCAAAACATACTAACAAAAAAACTAGCAAAAAAATCTATATTTTCATCTTCAGGTGAATGAATTAGGAAACTGGAGTATATCCATAGAATAGAATATTACATAACAATTTTTGAAACCTAATTCCCATACACAACAGTACAGATGAATCTAGAAAACATTAAATTGAGCACCAAAGGCAGAGAAAGAAGTGTACATTCTGCTGGATTACTACTGGATTCCATCTATGTGAAGTTTAACAGGAAGTACACATAATCACTGATTGTGAAAGTCAGGAGAGTAGTTATCCCTGAACATGGGTTTTTTTTAAATAAAAAAATCTTTTAAAAATATTTTTTAGTTATCCATGTACCTTTATTTTTATTTATTTATGTATGGTGCTGAGAACTGAACCTAGTGCCTCACTCATGCTAGGCAAGTGCTCTACCACTGAGCCACAACCCCAGCCCCAGAACAAGGATTTTAACTGGGAGGAAGCAGGAGAAAATTTTCCAAGGTGATAAAGTTGTTCTGTATCTGGATGTGATGGTTATGTAAATGTATATTTGGTAAAAGTTGAGTGAGATGCACCATTAAGATTTGTGTATTTTACTACATGTAAATTTAATAAAAATATAATAAAATAAACATAGAAATAGGATGTTTATAAAGCTTATAATACAGGCCTTTCATACAGTATGACATAATAAATGTTAGCAATTTATTATTTAAAAGATCTGGTTAGATATACTTATAGCTGTGCTTAGAGGGAAAGGTCTAGAGCTCTAAATGTAGATATCATAAGAGAGTTAAAAATTAATTACCTTAATCTCTATCTCAAGAAGCTAACTAAAAGAAACAATAGAAAAGTTAGAGCCAAAAAAAGTAAAGGAACTAAAGATAGGAGCAAGATCAGTGAAATAATTAGTAGATACACAAAAGAAGAAAACATAATGAATCTAGAACAAGAATGTAAAAGGAACATCACTACAGATCCTACCAACATTAAATGGAAATAGTCGGGCTGGGGTTGTGGCTCAGCGGTAGAGCACTTGCCTAGCACATGTGAGGCAGTGGGTATGATCCTCAGCATGACATAAAAATAAAATAAAGGTTATTCTGTCCACCTATAACTAAAACAAATATTTAAAAAAGGAAATAGTAATATTATAAACACCTTGATGCCAGTGCATTTTAGAGCTCAGACTTCCTCGTATGCTGCATTTATCACTTCTTGTTCTACTTGTGTCACACAGTGGGCAGCCTGGGACTAGAACAGTGCCTGGTGCCACTTCAAGACTCTCATTTCTAGTCCCAGGGCCTCCTGTGCCCAGAAGAGTGCCTGACACTCAGCCCTTTCCAAGGACTGCTGCACAAAATACCACAAACTATATGGCTTAAAACAAGAATGAATTCTCTCACAGTCCTGGAGGCTGGCAACCTGAAATCAAGGTGTAGGCAGAGCTAAACCCTCTCCAAAGGCTATAGGGAAGAGTCCTTCCTTGGTTTCCCTGTCTCCTTGCGGTAGCCAACCATGGCATTCCTTGGCTTATAGCTATGTTGCTACAAGTAGTTGTTTCAACTTCTGACTTCACTTGAACTTCTTCCCTTTCCATGTCTTCTCTGTATCTCTATGTACAAATTTCCCTCTTTCTAAAAAGCCATTGGATTCAGCGTTTACCCTAATCTAGTATGACGTCATGTTACCTTGATTACAACTGCAAAGGTTATTTGCAAATAAAATCACATTGACAGGTGCCAGGGGTTGAGATTTCAGCAAAGCTTTTAGGGAAACACACAGTTCAATCCACAACAGAGGTCAATAAATATCTGTGCTACCATTGTGAAAAGCCAGTATTATAATGTAAGGAATGCTCAAGTGAGTGCAGGAAAGTAGCTCTGGAAAGCAGCCTTCTCCCCAGGTTTTGCTGTGATCAAAGAGTCCATTAAGTGTTTTTGTTGTTGTTGTTGTTGTTGGCGGCTGTAGTAAATAGAATGAATGTCCAGGTGAAGGGAAATAAGAGTTTGAATGTTCTAGGTGTGAATCCAATCTCAGGTGGGTCAAATTTTAGATGCCAATATTCTCAAGTTTCATTTATAAAAGTAATTTAGTGATATTATAAGTTTTTGAAGGGGGGGGAAATCAAATCATGATCCTATACCTGGATTTACTGAGGTGGAGGGAACAGTAAGCATGAAAGCCTCCAGGCCTGAATGAGCTCTGTGTGCTCCAGGAACAGAAAAAGCAATGCAGCCCAGACAGCAGTGTCCTGCAGGATGGCTGGATGTGCCCACTGTCCATTCCAATCCTCCCTTTTTCTGGCAAGTTTCTCTCAAATGCACTACCTTTGGCATCCCCTCTACCCAGCTTTGTGGACTTGGGTGGGGCCCAGTGAGTGGGAAGAGGGAAGGGAAAGATAGAAGCAGTTGAATCTTCAACAAAGAATTAAAACTGAAACAGCATCAAGTCCATCTTTCTGGATTGGAGACACCCATGCCCCACAGCCCTAGAGGCTGAGGGAAGGTGCCGAGCTCTGCAGGAGTGAGGCAGGTAGGGATGAGGAGCAGAGTCCCCACAGTCAACTTCCTTGTCCATCCTTCCTGGCAGCCAGCCACATTACCAAGCGACACTGGAAAATGAAAGCATGTAACAGGATGTTAATATGAGGAGCTTCCCACCTCGGTTTTGGCTGAATCCAAATAGGCCAAGAACAGTAGAGGAGGATTCAGGTGTTCTGACCAACGGGGGACACACCTGTTGTTGAAAAAACTCATGGAAGCAAGTACTTTTATTGAGGAGAGATTGATAAAGCCAGAGAGATACACAAGGGATAGAGAGAAAAGAGAATACAATGATCTTTTGCTTTTTGTCCATGGGGCTCAGCCTTTTAATAAAACAGTTGAAAGAGTATAAAGGATCATTCCAAATCATGACAATACACCTGTTGACTTCAAAATCACATTCTGGTAATTGATGTGACCTCTCATATGAGCTGCCTACAATGTCCGCCCTGAACTTGGAGGTTCAGAGGGGGTTAGATTAAAACCAAGTGTTTCACCACTGACTCCCAAGCACCTCGGGGACTTGTTCTTCATTTCTCTTTTCAATTCACAGGTCACTCGCCCTTTCTGGGTGCCCCACAGATGAAAGTACCGCCCAGTCCCTGAAAATTCCTGGTTGGAAGATTCAGGGAATGAAGATCCACACCGAGGTGCGGAAGCGGGCGCAGGAGTGGTTGCAGTGGGGCAGAGAGGTTTGACGGGTACATAAGAGACCCTGAGCTCTGCTTGGCTATGCTGGGGGGTAGATGCACGCTTCACAGATGGCAGAGGAAGGGCCAGAGTTGGGGCTTTCAGGGCCAGTTGCAGGGTCCAGATGCAGAGTCAGGCTCATCCTGGGGTTTGCAGAGGCCAGGGTGGGCGGCCAATCACTGGAAGGCCTCTAATGCTCAGCTGAGGGTCTGGACTACACTGGTCGTAGGAAGCAGGCTTTAGGTGATGTTTGTCCATGATAAGTCAGTTATACACATAACCTTGATGAATCATTAAACTTCCTGGGGCAGTACTTAGTCCACCCCCTGTGGCAACCGCGCCCCTCCTGCTGACGACGGCTGGTGTCCGAGGATGCCGGTGCTACCCAGTCCCGGGAGGCCTGACCCCGCCCCTTTCACCTGGGCACGCCCCTGGGGGTGGAGAGACTTCCGACTTCCCCGCGGCGCGCGCTGGCCCCGCCCTGCTCGGGGTGTTGCCAGGCCCGGCCCCCCAATATCGGGCCGAGAGCCTGGAGCTCCAGAAGGGCAGGAGAGCGCGGCCGTCTGGTCGTCGCGCCAGGAGCACAGATGTGCCCAGGCGTCGGGGCGCACAGGTCTGAGCTTGAGCGAAGCTCTTGAAGTGGGCAAGACGGCGAGATGCCAGCGGAGGAGCCCTGCGCCCCTGGTGCTCCTGGGGCCCCTGGCGGTCCTGGCGGCCAGGGAGGAAGCCAGCGTGCGCCGGGCCCCGAGCTGCGCCTGTCCACCCAGCTGCTGCCGGAGCTCTACACCTTCGTGGTGCGCGTGCTGTTCTACCTGGCGCCTGTCTACCTAGCCGGCTACCTGGGGCTCAGCGTAACCTGGCTGCTGCTTGGGGCCCTGCTTTGGATGTTGTGGCGCCGGAACCGCCGCGGGAAGCTAGGGCGCCTGGAGGCCGCCTTCGAATTCCTAAACAACGAACGCCAGTTCATCAGCCGCGAGCTCCTGGGCCAGCATCTGCCGGCATGGGTGAGCCGCGGGGCGCTGGGGTTGGAGGTGGGCGGATGCGTTTTGCGGTTGGGAAAGAACCTGCAGTGAGCCCAGAAGCCGGGGCGCGCAAACTCGAGGGAGGGCGGGGGCCCGGCGCCCGGCCACCGCACACTCGGTTGCCCACCGAGCCCAGCGCTCAGACCCTGCAAGCCACGGCGGTGGGATCGCGGAACCTGGGTGTTAGTTAAGGGGTAGAGAAAGTCTTGGGCGGGCCACACCCAGGAAAAAAAAAATAAGGGCGTCTGAGATAGGCAAAGTTGGGGAAAACAGAAAGCACTTCTTCCACCTGCTTGTTGGTTTCAAAGAGTGAACGCAGGGAGCAATCGTAGATGGATAATTGCTGCGACGTCAGTGGCGGCCGGTTTTAGTTACCTTCAGCTGAGGCTCGGACTGATGCGGGGGCGGAGTCGGAACCCTGCGGGGCTGGAGGGTGTGACAGCCATTTGATGCGCAGAGCGCGGGGCTGGGCCACCTGAGCTCTGGCTCCCTCCGCCTGATAGAGATGTGCGGGCACACTCTTGTTCAAGGACATTCCCCGCCTCCTGGTGCGGAACCGCCTGACCTAGAGTTTCTCAAACTTGACTGGTCTTGAGATTCACCTGTCTCACTTAAAACGAGTTCTGAACTTCCAGGGTGGCACCCAGGCGCCCTGGGTTATTCTTAGGATCATGAGAGTTTGGCAAACATTGGCAAATAGGAGAGTTCGGTCCATTTCCAAAGGTTGGCCTGTGACAGATGAGCCCCTCTTGTATGGGGGACTCCGGCTTCCAGATTCCCTCTGGATACACCCAAGCCCACACTGGAAAATGCACAGAGGCCCTCAAACTCCACATTTCCTCAGGTTTGGACTCTTAACATCCTTCTCGAAGGTAGTAGATTCCTCACACCTGCCAATAATAGCCTTCATAATTGGGGTTCGGATGAAATACTAGAAAAACTAACACCTACTTAACTGAGACAAACCAGAGCTTAAAATTTGTTGGATTTAGTTTGCTAGGGCTGCTATAACAAAGTATGGTAGACTGGGTAGCTTAAACAAAAATTTAGTATTTCACAGTTCTGGGGACAGATAAACCCAAGATCAGGTTATCTGCAAGGTTGATTTCTTCTGAGACCTCTCTCTTTTGTTTATGGATAACCACTTCTCTCCATGTCTTCGCATGGTCTTTTTCTGTGTCCAGATTTCCTCCAGACACCGGTCATAACGAATTAAAGTCCATTCAGGTGGCCTCAATTTAAAACTCAATTACATCTTTAAAAGACTATCTCCTGGGCTGGGATTGTGGCTCAGAGGTAGAGCACTCCCCTAGCAGGACCCGGGTTTGATCCTCAGCACCACATAAAAATAAAGGCATTGTGTTGTGTCCATCTACACCTAAAAAATAAATATATTTAAAAACAGACCATCTCCTAGTGGCTCAGGAGGCTGAGGCAGGAGGATCACGAGTTCAAAGCCAGCCCCAGCAAGTAGTAAGACCCTGTCTTTAAATAATATATTAAAAAGGGCTGGGAATGTTGCTCAGTGATTAAGCGCCCATGGGTTCAATTCCCATTACCAAAGAAGGAGGAAAAAAAAAAAAGATCCAAAAACACAAACACACTCGGGGACACCGGAGAAGAGAGCAAAAGAGGGGGAAAAAGACAAAACACAACACACAAAATATATATAAAATGAAAAAAAAAACACAAAAAAAAAGACACATAGAAAAAAAAATCATATTAACCACTTTCCTAGAGTAGCAACCCATGGTGGGGAGAGTGTGGGGCCCATCACAACAGAGACATTTTAACTTAAGCAGAAAATGAATTTCTTTGGAAGGGATCTTGTTCATCCTGGTAGTTCTATGGAGTTTGTGATTCTGAAAGGTGTGGACCCAGAGAGCAGACCTGACCTGTCCACACCCCCTTGCTTACAGTTAAGAGAGCCCAGGCTACCTGGCAGATCTATGTTACGAACCGGTTGTGTCTTCAGTGATGAGAGTGGACCCTGAGAATTTGTCCAGTAACAGCCTCACCTTTCTCCCCTTCCTGTACAGGGAGGCCTCTAGACGCTTTGCTGTAAGCAAAGGCAGCATTTCTGAAACTAGGACAAGAATCAGATCCTGCAGGGGCATTGACACCTTCCCCCACAGCCCCACGGAGATAGCTCTGGCCTCTGTTGTGGCAGAAGACCCCAGGAACAACATAGAACTTAACAGGGTACTCAGTCCCAACCCAAGAAGGTACTCCCTGGGTTTTCACCACACAGACCATCCATCCCCCAGGTCTGACCCAGCTGGGCATGGGGCTTGGAAGACCGTGATAATGTGTCTCCTACCAAGAGGGCAGCCTCAGGTGGGAAACAGATGCTTAACCAGTAATTACCAAGAGGTCCCAGGGTAACCCGAGACAAGAGCCTAATAGGGTCCAGTTGGGTCAAAGGCCTGGAGTGAAGGACGCCCTACCTGGTTTCCATATCAGGTTGCCATCAGACCTCAGCCTCCTGCCTATTGACAGTGCCTTAAGAAGAGCCTGGCCTCTACCTGGGTTTTGCAGACTCTCTTGGCTGGCCAGCTTGAAGGGCCAGGGCCTGGGTAACATTTGGGTGGAGGCAGTGGTACTGCACAGGAGTTCCAGGCTGAGGGAGGCCATTGTGGCTGGCCACTCTGTGACCAAGTACCCTGCCCTCAGCCTGACTAACCTGTGTGGGAGGGGCCAAGTGGAGGTAGGTGTGATGGAGGTTGGGCCTGATTCTCAAGGCTACAAGGAAACTGGAAGGTTCGGCGAGGCCTGGCAGGAGGATGGAGACCAATCCAGAAAATTATTTGAACCAAGATGTTGGTGGTGGGGACCCTGAGGAGATAAAAGGTGTATGAATCTAGATGCTCTGTGGCCTCTAGAGTGGGGTGAGATGGGGATCTGGGGGCCTTGCAGGGTGTTTTCTGGGTATTCATTACTGGGTTTGGGACTCTCCAATGAGAGGCAGGCCCAGGGAGGTTGGTTTTCTCAGCACACGTGGGTCTGCCTCCCTGGGAGCACACTGTTTATGGAGGCGAAGGGAGGTGGGGCCCTCGCCCAGATCTTTATCATTTACAAGCTGACCTTCTAATGTGCCTTTCTGTTTTTGAGAACTCATTTCCTTCCAAGGAAGAGGGAGCGATGTCTTATGATAGCTTCCTACCTCCTTTGGCATCCAAGAAACATTTTTATAAATTACCAGATGGAAAATCCATAGTGAGGGACTTGGGGGAAAAAAAAAAGAAAGTCGAGGGTCTCAAGTGTCTGCCACACTCAGGACCACCTGGCCCAGTTGTACAAGTTGTACAATAATAGTCCCCTGTGAGTGGGCAGGTGGCTTAGCCAGCGCATCTGCCGCTTCTCGAGCTGCTTGGAAAGGACACCTTTTCCCCAGTTCCTGTGATGGGGTAAAGGCCAAGACCAGGCTGACCTGGAGTGGACATCTTTCCCTGTCCACTGCCAGCTTCCAGGCTACGGCTGTCATTGCTGGTCAGCTCTCGGTCATGTCCTCCTCTCTCTTGCTCGGTCTTAGAGTCCTCTCAGCACATTGCTCTAAGCTGCTGCCTGCAGGTGACCACAGAGATCACTCTCCCTTGCTGAACCTGGACGTGGACGTGGATGGTCTTTCAGAGCCATGCCAGCCCGATGTCTGATTTCAGCTCACACTTCATACAGTCCTGCCCCTCCTCTAGGCACCCTTTCTCAGGAGATGGGACTAGAAGGAAGGACTCCTCTGCTTCAAAGGGGACCATGAGGAAAGACCCGTGGATCCTTTTGTCTTGTGATCATGGCCTGGCCACGTGAAGGAGGTAGAGGTGGCCCTGGCTCCTCACCCTCTGAGAAGCGGGGGCGGGAGGGGGCTGCATGTTCATGGAAGGGTGTTCCTCTGGCACAGCTTTTGGATATATATATATTTTTTTTTAAGGTTTTTTTTTAACTAAAATAACGTACCTTTATTTTATTTACATGCAGTGCTGAGAATTGAACCCTGTGCCTCACACGTGCTAGGCAAGCACTCTACCACTGAGCCACAACCCCAGTCCAATTTTTAGATATATTTTTGAAGGAATCAAGAGCCACCTGAGTCAGTCCTCCTTTTCAGGGATTGGGGACCATGTGCAGCACAGTGACAAATGGGGGACTTGATAATAGTTAGCCATAGGCCTCAGGGAGCCCAGTCCTCATGTGTGGTTGTGGTGAGTTAAATGCTTGAAAAACCACTTGTTTGGAACCAGGTAGAAGTGGGTGCTCGGTAAGGGCTGTCCCTGTATGCTCCTCAAGTTTCTAGACCTCCTAACTAATAGAAAATCTTAGCTGTGAAATTGATGACCAAGTGTCCCAGCAATAAATGTGTCCCTCGAGAGCTGGTTGACTGTAGAGGTGGAGGCCCTTGGTGGGACTCCAGCCTACTATGTGGAACCCCAGTGAGTGCTCACCCACCAACCTTCAGAGCTCAGCCATCATACTGGGGGCCCTAAGGACCGTTGTCGTTGGGTAATCTTGACTGCTCCACAGCACAGGACTGGCCCTTCACTGATCTGTGCATTTCCAGGTTTTCCATGGAGCCATTGATCAGAGCACCAATCGCACATTTAGTTTGCTTACCAGGTATTTATTTTGCCCCTGCCATGACGAGGCTTGTGTGAGGAGGGAAGCCAGGTGGAGCTTTACCTTGCTCCAGGTGAGGTGGCATGCATGGAAATGAGGGCCATTTGGTAGGAAAATAGCTCGAGGTGGAGGAGAGAGGGAAGGAATTCTGAGGGAACTTGGTGATTCATCTGCGGTTTGGGGTCTAACCGATTTGCTGTCCTGCTAGTGGATAGCAGTCAGTTGGCAACTTTGCTGGGATGATCAGCCCTCCTTTGTGCATTTGCTAGTGGGAGGTGAGGTCCTGGAGTCTGGGTGCTCACAGGGGGCGGGAGGGGGGTTGTTCCTCTTGGACAATAGTGAAGTTTGGGGGGCTATTCTAGAGTTGTTTAGCT